AAATCACACAATTACACTCCCACATACACAATTTGATTGCCAAGCATTAGGACACGGTTAGTTGCGTATCCTTTACAGGACGTTGCAGAATCAACCACAACAGCCCCTGTCTGATTGGTTTTTCTAGACAAATTTACGTCCATTAGTTTGCCATTGCCACTGGACGGTCGGCTTCGGCTTCTTTGATACCACTGTCGAAAACAAAGCCCGCAGACCTGGCATCCCGGCATTACGAAGCGTTCGCATCGACTTAGCCACAGAGCCGACATAAGGACACGACAAAAGGGATTACCCCACGTTCGTCATCACCATTAAGTGACTTGCTGCCTGGCGTGGCCGATCATGCCTTTTCATAATTTGTGATATCAAACAGCAAATATCAATTCGTGTGCTGACAAGCTCCCATGCTATTTCAAAATACTGTCAAAATCGTCTCGCGCAAACTTCCCATTACTCTGTTTCCACAGATCTAGTAGTCACAGGTTCCGCTTTCCCTTTTCTCTTAACATGGTTTACAAAAATGATGGTTGTTCCTTCTGTTGTTTGTGATCAGTTGTCTTTGAGCCCTTGCAACTGTCAAGATATCTGGGCTGCTATTTTCATCTGTCTCGATGAGAACTGCGTCGTTCGTTTTTATTTCGCTCTATGATATTCTTTGCATTCTTCTCAGAAACCAGATCTGTGCCGCGAGTCAATGTTTTTCAGCTTGTTTGTCCATGTCTCACATGCATGCAACAACAAACACTACATGGTTGGTACTTTAACAATTGTTCTCACTGCAATACCATAGCGATTCTGGTTCGAAGGTATCTTACATCAGATGTTATGACTGTAATAAGATGTTTGTATCTAACTGACTTAATAATAATTTTGTCTTCTGCATGTATTTCACACTTTAGTATTTCTTTCTTCTTGTTAATGACTATAATTTTAGTTTTCTAAAAGTTTAATTCAAATTTTTTTTGGCGCATTAACTGTGCAGGGTTTACAGCCATATGTTAGAACTTCTCAATACATTGCGCATTAACTGTGCAGGGTTTACAGCCATTTGTTAGAACTTCTCAATACATTGCGCATTAACTGTGCAGGGTTTACTGCCATATGTTAGAACTTCTCAATACACTGCGCATTAACTGTGCAGGGTTTACAGCCATATGTTAGAACTTCTCAATACATTGCGCATTAACTGTGCAGGGTTTACAGACATATGTTAGAACTTCTCAATACACTGCGCATTAACTGTGCAGGGTTTACAGACATATGTTAGAACTTCTCAATACACTGCGCATTAACTGTGCAGGGTTTACAGCCATATGCTAGAACTGCTCAATACATTGCGCATTAACTGTGCAGGGTTTACAGCCATATGTTAGAACTGCTCAATACATTGCGCATTAACTGTGCAGGGTTTACAGCCATATGTTAGAACTTCTCAATACATTGCGCATTAACTGTGCAGGGTTTACAGCCATTTGTTAAAACTTCTCAATACATTGCGCATTAACTGTGCAGGGTTTACAGACAAATGTTAGAACTTCTCAATACATTGCGCATTAACTGTGCAGGGTTTACAGACATATGTTAGAACTTCTCAATACACTGCGCATTAACTGTGCAGGGTTTACAGCCATATGTTAGAACTTCTCAATACACTGCGCATTAACTGTGCAGGGTTTACAGCCATATGTTAGAACTGCTCAATACATTGCGCATTAACTGTGCAGGGTTTACAGCCATTTGTTAGAACTTCTCAATACATTGCGCATTAACTGTGCAGGGTTTATAGACATATGTTAGAACTTCTCAATACATTGCGCATTAACTGTGCAGGGTTTACAGACATATGTTAGAACTTCTCAATACACTGCGCATTAACTGTGCAGGGTTTACAGCCATATGCTAGAACTGCTCAATACATTGCGCATTAACTGTGCAGGGTTTACAGCCATTTGTTAGAACTTCTCAATACATTGCGCATTAACTGTGCAGGGTTTACAGACATATGTTAGAACTTCTCAATACATTGCGCATTAACTGTGCAGGGTTTACAGCCATATGTTAGAACTTCTCAATACATTGCGCATTAACTGTGCAGGGTTTACTGCCATCAGTGTTGCCATTTTGGATCTTTTATATCCAAATTTAGATCTTTTTCATTGCATTTAGATACTGTTTTTGACGTTTAGATCCTAAATATTTTTCTAGAATCTTTTCATATGGAGTTAGATATTTTATAGATTTTTTTTTTCTTTCATTGTCAATTTAATAATTACTGTGTAAAATATTTACTACAATATTTTTGTTTTGGTCTGGCACGTACGTTGTGACATCTGCCATTACTTGAACTTTGAACTCTCTCTGGGGTCAACACACAAATATCTGGCAGCCCAGGTACTGATTAATAAAAACGCGCGTAAATCATACTAACTTTGTTTCAACCGTATCCCCACTGTGCTGACTTTGCGTTTCTTTTTCATGTGTTTAAAAAAATAATTGCTCACCTTCTTATGTGGCTTTCACTTTGAAAAAACCTTTCAACATGCCAAAAGTAAAGTATGAGCAAAAAATTTTGGAAAGAGTGGGTGCATGATGACAAAAATAAAAACCGGGGATATGACCAAAGCTTGTTGTAAGTTCTGTAAGTGTGAAATTAAAGCGAAAATACAAAACTCAAAGAGTCATGCAGAGACTAAAAAAGCATAAAACTGCAGTTTCATTTAAAGATATTACACCGCTGACATCTGTTTTCAGAACTATACTGATAAATGAATCATCAAAAGTTGAAGTATCAGTCGCAATGTTTTTAATTTGTCACTGCGCAATTTCAAACTGTGACCATTTGATCGATTTGTAAAAATTCTTGGACTAGTTCAATTTGAAAAGTGTGGTGTAGAAAGTATAGTTTATGAACTGAAGGACCTTTTAATCAGCAAACAGTTAGGCTTGAAGAATTTGACTGTAATTGGTACTGATAATGTCTCAGTGATGGTTGGTATAAACAATGGCGTTTATGCCAAGTTGAAGGAAGCTAACCCATCAATACTTATAAAATGTATGCTTCATCTAAATATTTACCAAGGAATTTGGAATACCTTATTGCTGAAACACTCTACTGGTTTTCCAAATCATTTGTCAGACAACAGCAATTCAATACATTATATACAGCCTTGAATGATGGTTCCACACCACCGAAAATTCTGTTAGATTGCAAAACTAGATGGTTATCAATTTAACCAGCTGTTGAAAGAATTATGAAGCAATGGCTGAAGTTGAAGACACACTTAGAAATAACAAGACAAAGTGAAAAGTGCTACACAGCTAAAATACTATATGGAATGTACAGTGATTAAAAAAAAAAATTGTCATTCATTCTCTTTTTATAACCTATTCTAATGGAAGTGCAAAAAGTTAATAAACTGTCCGAATCTAAACTTGTTGATAAAGTTAAATTCCTTGATGATCTCACCTTGCTATTTCACTCGGTAAAAGACTGGTGTTGCCAACTTCTAAAGCTGATTTGCTAACTTGCACTATAGAGAGCTATTTGGCTCCTAAGCCACAACTTGGATATTAAATCGAATCAAAAATTGATGATTTAAAAACAAAAGGACTGTTAACAGACAATGAAGAGAACAACTTAAGAGAACACTGTCAAGATTTCCTTATCTCATTATTGAAGCAATTGATGCAGAGACTTCCTGAAAATCTAGATGTTTTGAAAAATATTTCACGTTTTTTTCTGTAAGCAACATACTTCATCCAATAAAGGACATACCTAAATATTGTAAAGTTATGAAATTTTTAGGGGCTACTGATAATAGTGTCGCGGAAGCAGAATATCAGTTAACCAAAATAAAGTTAGCTCAATGGACAAACAAAACAGAAACTAAAGCGTTTTGGAGTGAAGTGAGACCATTTAAAGATGCCTCAACAAGTCCATTCTGAAAGCTCTTTAAAGTGCCATGTCTGCCATGATACTACCCCACTCAAACATTGTGGGGACTGTACAATCTTTATTTTAGGCATGTGGTAGTTGAGCCTGCAGTGTCCTGTTCGTAGACGGAATATTGTTGTAAGATGCTTTCTATTGAGTCTGCTGATTTGGTCTTGTGGATGTTCACTGTTAGTTTCTTCTTTCCACAATTCCTTGTATTTTCCTTTGAAAAGTGTTCTGATTTCTGGCAATGAGAATGAATGGGCGTGTTGTTTTTCCTTTGTTCCGTTTTTTGCAAGTCTGTCTTCTTGCATTTCCTGGTATGCTGCAGTGAGCGGGATCCACTGGACAACGATTTGATTATTTTCTGAGATGGGAATACAAACAGCAGAACAGAACAGTAGGCAAGCTAGCTAGTTACTGGATTGATGATTGTCAGAAGAGGTTGCTAATCTTACAATATCAGCATTTTAAGATTTCACTACAAACTGAATGATACATCCCTGTGTGGGTTCTAGAAACCCATCAGGGGGGCGGGGGAGATAGACATAACTATATCATAAAATATTACTAATAATGTGTTGCAATTGAATTCTCGGTGCGGGTTTTAGGGCCAAAAACAATAAACCTACTGCCCTAAAAAAATATATATAAAAAAGCATGTCGTAAGAGTCGACTAATTAGGAGCTTCCTTCGAAATTGGATTGCATCTGCCTGAGTGGCAAGGAACAACCAGCTGCATAAAAATAAGCTGTAAAACGGATGACACAAGCTGTGGCACACAGCCAAAGTCCAAGTGGACAAACAACCAGGACTTTCTACCAGAGCTTACAGCCGGTGAACAAAGAAGAAAGAAGAAGAAATCAAATGTGTTGGGCCAAAAGGCACAGATTTTGCAGCTTAGCTGTAAACCACAACACAGTATACTAAACTGGCCTTTTAAGGGCACATGTACAAGAAGAAGTGTGATATAAAATAACTTATACAAACTTTAGAATATTGGCCGCATTATATGGTGTGTTCTTTAAACATCTTCTGTGTTTTATCATTTTATTTATCTTAATAGCACACAAGATTACTGCGCTGTTTAGCTTCCAGAAGCAATAAGCTATCACCAACAGTCCTGTCTCCACACAGACTTCACCTGCAGTTTGTTTATCAGACAAGACAGTTCTGGGGCGTTGACGTTGCCTTTAATAAGTACGTATTTGTAACCATCAAACTTCTCTATTTATTACAAATCATCATCAGTCATCATCAGTTCTTCTTATGCCTAGTGGCACAGGAGGCTTCAGAGAGGACTTTCCATGCTTTCCTGTCCTGTGCTATCTTCAATGCAGTTTTCCATGTCAAAGATGCCGTACTCAGGTCACTTTCCATCGTTCGTCTCCATGTTGTTTTTGGGCACCCATGTTTTCTCTTTCCCTCTGGTGTCCATGTGAGAGCTGTTTTGGCAGGTATATCAGAAGTCATTCTCGTAACGTGGCCAAGCCATTTCCATCTTCTCTTGGTAATCATGTCTAAAGTTTCTTGGTTTGTGGTTTGAAGTAGTTTAGTGTTTGAGATTGTATCTGGCCAGAAAATTTTGATAATTCTGCGTAGACGTGTGTGGTGGAAGGTGGACAGCTTGTGTGCATCCTTTTTGGTCATTCTCCAGCATTCCGCTCCATAGAGAAGAACTGGCAAAATGATGCTTTTGTAGAGTCGGAGTTTCGTTCCTCTGCAGTAATTGTTGGATTTCCAGATTTGCCTCATTCTTCCAAAAGCAGCTCTAGCTTTGTTCAGACGTGACTGTATGTCTTCCTCTGTCCCTCCCAGTAGGGACACCACACTGCCAAGATACGTGAAATGTTCTACATTTTCAAGTGATTGGTTACTTATGGTCACTGGTTGTTGGTTTGGACTGTTTGTCATGATCTTAGTTTTCTTTGTATTTATTCTCAGTCCCACCATTTCTGTTGTGCAGTTTAGTTTGTTACTTTTCTCTTGTATATGTTCATGTTTATGTGATAGGAATGCTATATCATCTGCAAAATCAAGGTCCTCAAGCATGGTGAATGGAGTCCATCGTATGCCTCTTAATGTCCTGTCTACTGTGTTCTTTAGTATCCAATCAACCACAAAGTTGAAGAGGAGAGATGACAAAACACATCCCTGTCTTACACCCGTCTTTACTGGGAAAGATGTATTGTAATTTTTTTATACTGCAGGAAAAGTCTTTATAGAAGAGAGCAGTTATGTTGACTATTTTTTCTGGAATTCCATAATGTCGTAAAATTTTCCACAGACCGTCTTTATAAACGCTGTCAAATGCTTTCTCAAAGTCCACAAAATTAATATATATACTTCTCTGCCATTTGTTGCATTGTTCTAAAATGTTACGTATGGCGAAGATGTGTTCAGTTGTTCCTCTGCCCTTTCTGAATCCTGCTTGTTCCACTCGTAGGCATTTATCTACTCCTTTTTCAAGACGCATTATGATGATTTTACAAAATATTTTGCTTGGTACTGAGAGTAGAGTAATTCCCCTCCAATTATTGCAGTCTGTTAAGTCTCCTTTTTTGGGGATTGTGACTTTTGTTCCTTCAGTCCAGTCATCAGGCAACAGTATACACTGATAATCTATGACAGATACATTTTTACATTTTGTTTTGTCTGGACAGTATACACTGATAAATCTATGACAGGGTCCCAGTACAAGAGAAAACAGACACAAAGTACTTTCAGAAAAATCCTGACTATAAACAAAAAGGTACAGATAAAATATACAAAATTAGCCAAAACAAATGTATACCCGTAATCGCCCAGCAGTGAAATGCTTAAACATTTTCATAGAGGCTACTTGTTTTAAAACGCCATCATTACGTGACATATTCAGATTGAATAACGGTAGCTATGTGTTGTATTCTTTTTATGAAAACTGTCTGCAGGCTAATGGGAATCACTTTGAGCATTTCATGCTTCACGTGTAATTTGTATGCATCTATTCATGTGTGAATAAATTTAATATCAAACGGGCCATACAAGTTGTTATTTTAAAAATGCCACCATTGCTACCATAATGTATTCAAAGACAGCAAATATCGTACTTGTAGATACATTTCACTGCTGGGCGATTACTCTGTATACATTTTTTTCCTGACTCTGAATTTTATTTCACAAAGCAGCATCATGTAGGAGGACCTTGAAAGAACATCAACTTCACTAGAGTCCGCCAGAAAGAAACATGTTCCCTTGCCAGCTCTCCCGCTGACAACCCCTTCACTAGAGCCCGCCAGAAAGAAACTTGTTGACAACCCCCCTTCCCACCAGAAAGAAACTTGTTCCCTTGCCAGCTTTCCCGCCTCGTGCACTTTCCTGCCCATGGTGTCTCTTATGTCTTGTACCCATCTTCTTTAGTTTACAGCTCAGTAAAATATTCACGCTTACTGTTGATGTCCCTAGCTGCAAGTCTTGATTACCTAGGACACAGACAACACACAGGGTAAAGGCCAGTGTTCTTATAAGGTTACATTTTATTTTACCATTTCTATGAACATGTGTATACTTTTTAACTGACATTAATTTGCTGCTTTTCAGTTACTTTACAAGTTCTAGTTTTTGATACACTAGAGTTGATGAAGAGCGGGTGAAACTTGCCGGTCCTGACAGGGCAGCAGCAGAGTGGGTGTTAAGAAATGGCGGAGCTATTAAGTGGACTACATCAACCAAGAAACTTGCAGACTACAACATGCTACCCAGTACAGATTTCGAACATTACAAGTTGGAAGAGATTGATCTCACAGCTACTGACGTGATTGGGCTCGGTTTTGCACATCTGAGTAGGTTTCCGCAACTGCATCTTATGTTTTTTATTGCACTTGACAATACACCCCACAAGCATTAATTCATCGGACATCGCTGTACACAAGCAGCGAAGTAAGGTTACGTTTGAGCAATTATATTGTGTAACTTTCAACACATTCACAATTACAAAAATAACACCCTATTACAAAACAGATCATATTTTTTGTTCAACAATACCTGTGTCTATAAGTTTTGCTATTCTATCTTTTACAATATACGTATATATACCATATATAGAAAACAGAATCAGCAGCCAGTACTGTTGAAATAAGTACCATTAACCAAAGACACTCATGCACACACACACACACACACACACACACACACATATTATACATGCATACACGCGCTAGAGAGAGACAGGAAGAGTTTTAAAATTGTTGTAATTATAGGTGGGAAGATAAGTACAATGAAATTGACAGTCATACCCAAATCTGGACTATTTGAGGCATTTCATACTTGAAGATTGTCATGTACTGTATCGTATCATGAGTTAATATAATCCTTCTTCTTCTTCATCGCTTGTCAGAGTGACGTAATTTGCATTGAGCCTGTATACAGCTTAACTGCAATGTTTGCGCCTTTTGACCAAACATCTGACTTTATCACGTGTTTGTTCACGCACTCAAATCTAATATGTTTACCAGTTTGACGTATTTATTGACTTTTGCCTGCCTGGCTGTATTGCATAGGTTCAGTTCATGTCACATGACTAGACGGCAAACTGCTTTGCATTGATTTCAACAGTGGTATTAGCATTCAGAGAGCAGTAGCAAATCACTGAACATGAAATTTCCTCGGTGAGACTACAAACAGCAAATGCTGGGGTTGATGTGCAATGCCGTGTGAAGGAACTAGCTTTTTAAAACCGTAACTTAGAAATTATAAGTTTCCAGAAGATACACAGCTGTCATCAAAAACAATATGCTAATCTTATGTCATCTATGACTGTCTGAAAATCTGTTATAGTATTTAGTCGTTTATCTAGGTTCCAACTTTACTGCAGACAAGTTGCCACTTTAATGTTCCGTTCCTGCAGAAACTACACAACATGTTTTTCACTGTTCTGTTTGAAAATAAGTGAAAAACATGTCAGCCCCAGCAAAATCATGAAACTTGCACACTCAAATAAATGCACAAGGCAGCCATCAGCTGTGCCAAAACTAACAGTCCTGCACCAGAATTGAAGCTCACTGTTGATGCAAGCAGTCAGGTACGAAAGCTCCCTGTGTGGGTCCCGGGGTATCTTTGGGGGGAAAACAAGGACAGACCCACTGCCTCCCCAACAAGCATGTTGTAAGAGTCGACTAATTGGGGGCTTCCTTCGAAGTCGGAGTGCGTCTGCCTGAGAGACAAGGAACCTACAATTGACATATAATTAAGTCGGATCTGTTAAACTGATGTGTAAGCAACACTGAGATTTTGGGAAAAGACTATAAAATCCAGAGGTGGACAAACAACCAGAACTTCCCACCAGTTTACAGCGGGTGAACACGAAGAAGTTGTTAGGAAAGTCGGCATTGTACTGCATAAGTAAAGGCTATTCTGAACTTAACCCTTCACCCTGCTTCTTTTTGGCACAACGGGAAAAAATTGTTCAACTTGACATCCACCAAGCACTCAGCTCAGTAGCTGGGCGACAAAACCTTTGGAATCCTGGTCCAGAAATGGGGAATTTGCTCAGCAGATCCCGAATAGAAACAAATAACTTTTAAAAACATTACTGGTAATCTGGCAGTCTACCATATTGGACCGGAAGTCCTTCAGTGGTACTGTCTTTTTCTGATGTCCTTTCTAACCTTTATGTCAATTTCAGAAGACTTGAAACATCTGAAGAAGGTTGTAATGCATGGAGTCAGGTCAGCGGGAGATGATGCTCTAGCTTACCTTCATCATGTCCAGGACACGCTAGAACACCTGGAGATAAGCCGCTGCCCTATGATTACAGAAAAGGGATTATTGAAACACCTGTCGGAGATGAAGTAAGTCTGGAGTTTTGGGTGGTACAAAGTACCATTCATTTGGGTGTTCTGGGTTTCATAAGGTGGGAATTTAGGTGGCACAAATTGCCGCTTGTCTGTGTTTTTGAGTCCTAAAAATATGGAATTTAGAATGCTTCAACTTGCAGCTTGTCTGTGTTACTGAATCTCAAAAGTCTGGAATTTAGGCTGGTACAAAGCCGATTCAAGCATCCCACTAACATCAGACAGCATGTGACTCTGTAACTTTAGTTCACAAGCATCCCACTCACAGCAGACAGCATGTTACTCTGTAACTAAAGTTTACAAGCATCCCACACACAGCAGACAGCATGTTACTCTGTAACTATAGTTTACAAGCACCCCACACACAGCAGACAGCATGTTACTCTATAACTATTGTTTACAAGCATCCCACCCACAGCAGACAGCATGTTACTCTGTAACTATAGTTTACAAGCATCCCACCCACAGCAGACAGCATGTTACTCTGTAACTATAGTTTACAAGCATCCCACACACAGCAGACAGCATGTTACTCTGTAACTATTGTTTACAAGCATCCCACACACAGCAGACAGCATGTTACTCTGTAACTATAGTTTACAAGCATCCCACACACAGCAGACAGCATGTTACTCTGTAACTATAGTTTACAAGCATCCCAGCTACAGCAGACAGCATGTTACTCTGTAGTTTACAAGCATCCCAGCTACAGCAGACAGCATGTTACTCTGTAACTATAGTTTACCAGCATCCCACACACAGCAGACAGCATGTTACTCTGTAACTATAGTTTACAAGCATCCCAGCTACAGCAGACAGCATGTTACTCTGTAACTATAGTTTACCAGCATCCCACACACAGCAGACAGCATGTTACTCTATAGTTTACCAGCATCCCACACACAGCAGACAGCATTTTACTCTGTAACTATAGTTTACAAGCATCCCACACACAGCAGACAGCATGTTACTCTGTAACTATAGTTTACAAGCATCCCACACACAGCAGACAGCATGTTACTCTGTAACTATAGTTTACAAGCATCCCACACACAGCAGACAGCTTGTTACTCTGTAACTATAGTTTACAAGCATCCCAAACACAGCAGACAGCATGTTACTCTGTAACTATAGTTTACAAGCATCCCACACACAGCAGACAGCATGTTACTCTGTAACTATAGTTTACAAGCATCCCACCCACAGCAGACAGCTTGTTACTCTGTAACTATAGTTTACAAGCACCCCACCCACAGCAGACAGCATGTTACTCTGTAACTATAGTTTACCAGCATCCCACCCACAGCAGACAGCATGTTACTCTGTAACTATAGTTTACAAGCATCCCACACACAGCAGACAGCATGTTACTCTGTAACTATAGTTTACAAGCATCCCACCCACAGCAGACAGCAAGTTACTCTGTAGTTTACAAGCATCCCACACACAGCAGACAGCTTGTTACTCTGTAAATATAGTTTACAAGCATCCCACACACAGCAGACAGCTTGTTACTCTGTAACTATAGTCTACAAGCATCCCACACACAGCAGACAGCTTGTTACTCTGTAACTGTTGTATGCCTCAAAATAATTGATTGTTTTGTATGGTCGAGTCGGCAACTGTGGCTTAGACGTTGCGAATGTGGTTTGTAATGTCGGGGTGCCGGGTTCGATCCCAGCTGCGGACGATTTGTCTTACGTTGGTTTTGACTGTAATACCGAGAGCTGACCGTTCAGTAGCAAAGGCAAACTACTGAACGTAAATTTGCCTAGAAAAACCACAACAGCCAAAAAATGCTGGGGCTGGTTCTGCAATGTCCTGTAAAGGATACACAACTAACTTAGATATGGTTGAATGTGGTTTCTTGGATTTATTTCTGTTGGGTTCACATGCAAGTAGTGGCTCTTTGAATAACTGATGTCAGAAGTAAAGGACCTAATATACAGACTATCAGGCGTGTTGGGCATTTAGTGCTAGACCTATATTTTATATACCAGATGGAAGATGTATTAAAGAAGTTAAATGTAGAATAGCTGAAGCAGAGGCAGCTTTGTACAAAGTGAAGAATATTTTACGCAATCTTAATTTGTCAGTTAAGACAGAAAGAGAATTCTTAAAAGCTATATAAATCTCTCTTGATATACGGATATAATCATGGACAGTTGGTAAATTAGTGAAAACCTATTTGGAAGCTGCAAAGATGTGGTTGTGTAGATGATTGATGAGAATCTTCTTCTTCTTCTTCTTCACTTCCTCTTTTACCGCTGTGGGTGTCGAGGGAGATATAAGGTTCTGTTTCTAGCTCTTCTGGCTGCCTCGACCTTAGGCACATCGTGCTGTTGTAGAGTTTCTCTGATGTTATCCTTCCATCTTGTTCTTGGTCTACCCCGTGCTCTACGTCCTTCTTCTCTTTCCATGTATGCTTTGTATGGTATGGTGTCACAAGGCATTCTCTCTAAGTGGGCAAACCATTTCACTTGCTGTCTTTGTATGTAATCCAGAATTGGTTCTGTGCCTACTTGTTCTCTTATGATCTCATTCCTGATCTTATCTCTTATAGTCACTCCTACAGCCCTTCTCAGACATCTCATTGTATGATGAGAATATAATGATGAGAATACCCTGGACAAATAAAAAGAGTAATGAAGATGTCTTAAAAGAAACTGACTGAGAAGAGAACTGATTGCCCACATCAGAAAGAGACAATCTACATTCTTTGGTCATGTGATGAGAAAACTGGAGGACATCGTGACAGAGAGAAAGTTGGAGAGAGGGAGCCGAGAGAAAAGATGCCAGACAGTTTGACATCACGGCATGGACGATCATATGTATCAGAGCTGATTGAAAGTTCACGAGACGAAAATTGTGGATAGACATGAGTACCAATGTCACATGGCATAGACTTTATAAAGAAGAAGAACAGTTGGCAATGGGTGGGGGATGTGATCGGCAGACATTACACCAGCTATGTTTATACTTCCCAGGACTTTACCTGGTAACTAATTTAGGTTGGGTCAACTCGGGAGCCAAGGTCATTTTGTTTTAAAATCCGGCAGATAATCAACCTTTGGGTCTGAAGCAAGAACCTAGCAGCTACACCATGGTGGCTCGCACAGAACATAGAAGGCTTGAGAAACGTAGCAGTCAGTATGGTTTTATTTCTGTTTGTAAAATAGATACAGAAGCAAAGTCAAGGAACTGCTTCTACTTGATGCATACTGGATATAAGGTACCAGCTCCCTGTGTGGGTTCCAGGACCCCATTATGGGGGAAAACAGGAATAGATCCACTGCCTTCCCAACAAGCATGTCGTAAGAGTTGATTAATTGGGAGCTTCCTTTGAAGTCAGAGTGATTTGGAATGTTGAATACATACACATCTCCACAGAAATGTCCATTTTGTATTATCAGTGTCTTCCATTTACTTTCAGAAAGCTCCGGCACCTAGTGATCTATGATCTGATTGAGATCAGAAATCTTCAGGCTGTTGTTGATTCTCTCCAGAAGGCTATGCCTTGGTGCACCATCGATACCACAAACCCCTGGCTAACAAAACCAGCGGATGACGTCCCTGATTCTCAGAAAAATTAAACTCTTGTGTATATAATGTCTGCATGCATGTTTGTGTGTAGGAGTGATTCTCCAGCAGCTCACCAAGGGTACCTAAATGTGGGGCTCATTATGCTGTGTGCATCTGTACTGTCATACTACTTCAGTCCTGGATAATGGCTTTTTTTTTTACACAGATTTCTTTCACGTTTGTCAAATATAACAAATGTATAATCCTCTTAGGCAAACATTGGGAGCAGCTGCTGTGAATACTCAGTTACTAATAAACTACAAAGATTCATTAACTAGTGCATGTGTGGGTTTCCTTCACTATAAAGAAGACTTATATCTCCTACTGTGCATTCCCTGATCCTCAATTACCATAATCATAATTTCTGGGAATTAAAAAAAAAAAGTGATAAAAAAAAACATAACAGAGACAAATGAAATGTTTTGGTGACATTAAACGCCACAGCATCCGTATAAATATACTGGAGGGAAAGGTTGATGGCATGTAAGCAAAGGGTAGACAGCGATACAAGTGGTGGAAAAGATACGGAAACATGTTTAACAGCAGTCTGTTCGAGTGTACAACCAGTGTTAGGGACGGTGTGTTGGAGATCAATTGCAGCCGACCATAACTGTGGAGATGGCACCTAAATGACAGAGTAATCTTTTAAATGGTTGAGTGTATTGTCTTTCTCTTTATCTAATATGTAGGTAGTCTTGGGAAGTAAAGGGGGTCAGGGTGATGTTGACTACACAGAGTGACGATTGGTCTTTAAAATTTAGGTCTAGCCCTATATGCTGAATACCGCTTACGTACTAGACGCTGCAGACTCAATAAACACTCACATAAATTAGGTATGAGCCAAACAGCTCTCTGCCAGTGCCTTCGTGCTGAACAGACTCCAGAACATGTCCTGCAAGGCTGTCCTCTCCTGGCAGAGCAACATATGGCAACACCCAGTAGAACTGACAACTAAGCTTTGGGGAAACCTAAGAGACCTTGAAAAGACATCCCAGTTTATGACCCACAGTGGATTATGCGCATGACCAGAGATCTCTGAAGAAGAAGAATACACCCAAAGGCATCATGGAATAGTGTCCTTTGCTTTACAAAGTATAAACACTTAACAGTTATTTTTTAACCGTAACCCTATATACAGTGTGATAGTAAAAAAATGAATGAAAGGTGAGAGGCCAGAAAAGCACAATGTTAGATTGGTTAGTAGCCCCACTGTTATGACTTTGGAAATAAATTGTGTTGATTAGTTTTATCTTGCTTGCAATGTTTATATGACAGCAACCGGTGTGACGTCTCTGTAGATAGCAGTAACCTTGGTGAATATGCAACTGAGGACAGTATTTTTAAGTAGGACATTTTCTGTTGAAGACACACTCCCCTTCTGAGCTATGGATAGTGGAGTCAATATTTCTCAGATAAAGTCTCTCTGTGGTTCCAGGTTGCGGGACCCCATTGTGGGGGTAAACAAGCATAGACCCACTGCCTCCCCAACAAGCATGTCATAAGAGTCGACAGTCAGCTAATTGCGGGTTTCATTTTCAAAGTCTCAGTGCATCTGCCTGAGAGGCAAGGAACCAACAGTCTGCTTACAGAATGAGTCAGACCTGTAAAATGGATCTGCAGGCAGAACTTAGGTTCTGGAACAAGTCTAAAGTATGGAGGTAGGTGAACAAGCAGAGCTTTCTGTCGGAGTTTACAGCCCGTGAATGCAAAGGTAAAGCCAAAAATAAGTTTTCCTTTATTTTAAGCTCAGCATTAGACAACTTTCCCCACAACCTGTATGCTTCATGGTGTCTGCCTGTGGAGATATTCTTGACTCCTCATCCTGGAAACAAAATTTATTAGCCCACCAGAAAATGTTCTACAGGTGCATGTTGTGTTTCACTGGTTATCAGGTCTGACCTTGACCTTCTGTCTGGTGGACGGACCTCATAGGCTGGTCATTACTGGAGGTTTCCAGCTTTAGTGGGTCTTAACAAAACACCCTTTAAAGCCCATGTGAAAACATATCAGTCCCAGCTAAGTCCTGAAGCTGGCACAAACAAAATAAATGCTTGAGGCAGCCATCAGACATGCCAAGGACTGGTATGTACAGTTCCCACATAAACAATGAGAAATGCCAGTGCGCAACTCATAGCCTTTGCCAGTCAAGCCAACTGTACTTAAATGTGGTGCCACCTGTTGCAACAGACACAGCTCTGGCGCGTAGCAAGTCTTCATTGCCAACAAAATAGACCCCTGATGCCCGAACAGGTAAAATGCAAGGCCGTGGCTGGGTTAAGCCAGTCATATAAACCCTCGGCTGAGTGTGACTAAACAAAGTAGACAGAATACAGGTCTCAGAATCGTCACTGGAGGCGTGAGAAGCATATCAGTCAAGAAGCTGAAGGCAACTTTTGGCCTTCAGAGCTTGAGCTAGCGAAGGGGCTTACCCTGATAGAAGAATGTAAACGCATGAACAACCACTTCCATGCACAGAATTTTTCTGTCAAAATTGTTGTACACCAAAAACAGTAATATCCTTTCTAAAGATCCTTCAACCTGGGAAGTGATCCAGGCATAAAACATGGACCTACAACCTAACTATACAGTAACAACAACGATCTTAGGCAAAGACATAAAGGCTGAAGAATGTGACCTAGTAAAGCATGTCTACAACTCTTACCCCAAACTGAAATGGACACACGTATACACTGATGGATCATTGGAGGGAGCAGTAAAAAACGGAGGAGCTGGTTCTGTCGTCATGATGCAAGATGGGACCACAGTGGAAACGTCATGTGCCTCCAGGAAACTCTCAACAAACTTCAGAGCAGAGCAGCAAGCAATTACTGATGCAACCACAAAGTGCTTGAGGAAAGAAAAATTAAAAACAGCAAAATAGTTTTCCTGTTTGACTGCATGTCAGTACCCCAGGTGACTCAAAGGGATCCATGAGACAACATGGATAGAGAACTGACCCGCCAGCTAAACAGACTGTCAGAAAACAAATTGTTCTCCAGTAGATCCCGGCTCACTGCGGAATACCAGGAAATGAGTTAGTGGATAGACTTGCAAAAAAATGAAACAAAGAAGAAACAACACACCCATCCACTGTCATTACCATAAATCAGAAAAGAACACTTATCAAGGGAAAATACAAGGAATTGTGGAGAGAACCAACAGTAAACATTCAGAAGACCCCATCAACAGAAAGCAATATACAACAAGGTTCTGTCTAAGAACAGGACACTGCAGGCTCAACTACCACATGCATAAAGTAAGACTATACAGTCCATACTGTGTGCATGTCAGACAGGACCACAAACACCTGAGCACATTCAGCAACCCTGCCTATTCTTCGAGAAGAAACCTGGCCTCAAAAGCAAAGATCCTTTTAGAGCAAGCTATGGGTAACCATCAAGGACCTGCAGCTGACATGCGAGTTCATAGGAGCAACCCACCTTATGGTCTGATCTAAATACAAAACTGAATGCACAAAAGAACAGAAGAAGAGATGTGCCAACACTAACAGTCTCCCACCAGAACTGCAGTCCACTATTGATGCAAGCAGTCAATCATGATGCAGGCATTGCACATACAATGCTGCATAAGTAGACACTGTTCCAAAAGTATCAGCAACCAGCCACTTTTTAGTGCAGTTGCCAACACTAAACCACTGCAGATACAAAATTTTCTTCTTAGCATGGCTGTTAACTCTAGCAGAAAAATCATTCCACAGCTCAGCGTCGAACTAAGCACTCAAACTTATTATCTGGGCGATGGAATCTTTATACTTCCTGTCCAGGGACATGATAATCTTTGCACATATACTCGCAGTAAATGGGGTAAATGTCATAATAAGAACAAAGTCTTTGTTCATGTTTACATCAAATTTATCAGCCAGTGAGGATGTGCTCATAAAAGTATTTACACTCTTAAATGCATTTTCTGGTAAAACAGCAAAAATAATATCCAGACACAAAACTAGACATGTAACGAAGAATTACAATCAAAAAGGAAACAATTTTAAATTTTCTAAAGTTTGCATAACTTGGCTGCATAATTCACTCTCTGGATGTACGCTTGAGTCTTGAGTCCTGAAATTGAGTTTTCCATGCACATATACTTTACAGATCTGGCTTTTTGTGTGTGCTGACTGTTGGTTCCTTACCTCTCAGGCAGACGGGCTCTTACTATGAAGAATTCCTCCCCCCCCCCCCCCTTGAGGCATTTTATGACATGCTTGTTGGGGGAAAGTATGTCTATTTTTTTTCTTCCCCTCCCTCAAATGGGGCCACGGAACCCAGACGGAAGTTAGCTTCTTCAAGTTCAGACATTTATTAGCCAAAGTAACAGCTTGTGAAGGTTTAATGAGTTAAACTGAAACCTGCCAGAGACTGAAAGCTAAAATCTGCACATTTACAGTTGTATTCAAAAAGTGTATCAAACAACAAAGAATCAATTCTTCGTGTAATCTTTCGTCCTCTGTAATTACGAAAGCTGAAAGCTCTGTAGACACTCTTTTATTCATTTATAGGAAACATTCTTCTCCGGACTTTATGAAATAAACTAAATACAATGTATTAGTTTTCTCCCGGTCCCACTGGCGCATTAAGTCTTTGATAGTTCAGTAAAATACACATCAATCAAACTGTTGGAATATCAATTAAACTGTAGATATATCAATCAAACTACACATTTTAATCAAACTACATACACACATCAATCAAACTGTCAGCATAGCTAGAAATCTATGCTGAGCAATTAAACTGTATACACATCAATTATTAAACTGTATACACATCAATTATTAAACTGTATACACATCAATTATTAAACTGCATACGCATCAATTAAACTGTTTACACATCAATTACACTGAAATGAGATGTCTGAGAAGGGCTGTAGGAGTGACCATAAGAGATAAGATCAGGAATGAGATCATAAGAGAACAAGTCGGCACAGAACCAATTCTGGATTACATACAAAGATAGCAAGTGAAATGGTTTGCTTACTTAGAGAGAATGCCTTGTGACACCATACCATACAAAGCATACATGGAAAGAAAAGAAGGACGTAGAGCACGGGGTAGACCAAGAACAAGATGGAAGGATAACATCAGAGAAACTCTACAACAGCACGATGTGCCTATGGTCGAGGCAGCCAGAAGAGCTAGAAACAGAACCTTATATCTCCCTCGACACCCACATCGGTAAAAGAGGAAGTGAAGAAGAAGAAGACATCAATTAAACTGTATACACGTCAATTATTAAACTGTATACACATCAATTAAACTGTGCAATCAAAAGACTGCCATGTATGTACACAGCCCCCAGTGACCAACCATCTCTGCAGAGACGAGCGCCCTTGCCAGCTGGTCATAAATTCCCCTGGATGCTGGCATTTAAAAAAAATGATATGGGCTCCTAGGTCAACCCAACCATGGGAAGCCACCCTGGGAAGCCACAGAATCAACACTTCTGATTGGGTCAAATTCCCCATAAATGCAGCTTAACTAACTTTTCTGGAGTGACACATTTATGAAATATATTTGCTAAAAACAATATTTTGGGGATTTCTTTGTGAACCAAATGGCTTTTGCATAGCCAAGTTAATATCAATTTTATTGTAGGCCTCAATGTTAGAGGTCACAGGGTCGTGGTAGGAGACGCCCACAACATGTGTAAAGATTACTCCCTTTACATATATTATTTTTTAATACTCCCTTTACATATTTTATTTTTTAATAACTTTTCTCATTTTTAGAATTTTGTTGGCAAAAGGCTTAAATGGAGTACCAGGAAATATTCAGAAAAGTAAAGGCAGTCAGTGTGCTACTGACCACATCATCCAGTGTGTGTTCTCTTCCTCTTTTGTCAATATCTGCTTTTGCCACTAGGCGTCGCAGCTCATCAGACGATCTGCAGCCGAGCCAGAACCAAAACTGCAGTCCACTATTCATGCAAGCAGTCGATCATGATGTCAGCATTGCACACACAATGCTGCATAAGTAGACACTGTTCCAAAAGTATCAGCAACCAGCCACTTTTTAGTGCAGAGTCCAACACTAAACCACTGCAGATACGAAGTTTTCTTCTTAGCATGGCTGTTAACTCTAGCAGAAAAATCATTCCACAGCTCAGCGTCGAACTAAGCACTCAAACTTATTATCTCGGCCATGGAATCTTTGGACTCCCAGTCAAGGGACATGATAATTTTGCTCAGTCGCTTGATATGACGTGATCTTACTCAGTCTCAAGGTGTCAGTAACTTCTTCAATCCATCTTCTTCTAGGTCTTTCCCTGCTTCTTGGTGTTTCGATTTTCAAGTTGTACACTCTTGCATTGTTGGTTTCATTCTTATTAGTTGGCCAAACCATTTCATTCTTTATTTCTCAATAAATTTGACGACAGGTGTCATTACAACAGTTTGGTGATCATGCCGTTTCTCACTCGATCTCTTATGGTTTTATTCAAAGCCATTCTCAAACATCTCATCTCGCAGGTAGTTAGTTTTCTTTCATGTTATTTTGTCAATGTCCAAGCCTAATATTGGTAACCTAAAGTCGGTACACATATTGTGTTTATAATTTGTCTTTTTGTCTCTACTGGCATAGCAGGGTGGTATGTGACATTGTTGGATTCTTATTTCTATCTCTGTCTATTTTATCATTGTATGTAAAGATGCTTCCCAAGTATTTGAAAACTTGCACTTGTTTCAAACTCTGATCCTTATGTCGATGGCTTGTGACTCTCTACAGTGTGTTCTAGTAGGTCTATACAAACACAGGCTAGCACCATATTCTGGGTCTCGTTTACTGTCAACCAATCGATGATAGATGTCAACATCGCTGACAGATGTCATTCATCTAGGACAGGATGTGCTTCCATGCCATGATGCCATACTGTCTAGCATCTTTTCTTGTGGTCTCCCTCTGCCTCTCCTTTCCCAGCTTTCCTGTGTCACAGCAATACTCTAGTTTTCCCCTTTTCACAATGAGCCCAAAGAATGCAGACTATCACATTCTGATGCAGGTCATTATTCCCCTTTTGAGTTCATGTCTTTTAAGACATTTTCATTTTGCTCTACCTTTAGTATTAAAAAAAAAAAACGTCACTACAGACTGTATGTATGTGTGTGTGTACCACTTTTTAAAGATGGTGTTGACACGGGGTCATGAGACTGTATGTATGTACCACTTTTTAAAGATGGTGTTGACACGGGGTCATGAGACTGTATGTATGTACCACTTTTTAAAGATGGTGTTGACACGGGGTCATGAGCCTGCGGATTTAGGGCCACATGGCTAGTGCTGTTGCCGTCGACTGTGCAGGTTAGGGTGTTTAATTTGCCCCTGACAGAAAAACTCTTATCATCTTACCTGGGGTCAAACCTGAGTCTCCTGCATGAAAGCCTAACCTTGTAACCCCTCGGCCAGCCACTCTTTTGTGGTGTTATCATTCATCTATAAAACAACATTATGCAGCACCCACATAATTTCCACTAAACTAATATGGATATCTGCTTGCTAAGCTCCTAAGCCAGCGTCGCCCGTGGCTTAGGCGTTGCGAGTCCGACTCGTAATCCAACGTACCGCCATCAAAACCCACATCTGGCTGCGTGGATTTTTATCATGGTATGGGTCGTAGCAGGTCGACCCAGCCTAAAATGGCTACCAGGATGGCTGTCCTGGGGAAGTAAAGATGGCCGACGTAATGCTGACCATATAACCCATCCGGTGCCGATTGGTCTGTAAATATAGGGAACGCTCTTCCCACATACCCGATGCACTTAAGGCATGAAAAGGGATCTTTACTTTAAGCTCCTAAACCCCCACTTAAACACAAATATCCCATGCCCAAAATGCTAAAAAATAATTAGATCTTATCAGACTTCAACTCTGGGGTCCGAACCTCTGCCGTACTTCCTTATCATATTGTCTTCATTTCTTGTCTTGCTTTTCTCTGTCCTTGTGTGCCACACTAAAACCTGCGGGTGACAGAAATGTGCTTCATTATAGCAGACAAAATCAACAGAGATCAGGGAATGTAGTCAATGAACAACGATGCAGAAGTTATTCAAATGAAAACCTGATACAGTGCAGATCTGATAAGGAGAACTCACCAGGGACTGAAGAAAATAGTTTTTATCAGAAATTCCTCTTATACAGAGATAAAAGTTCAAGCATATGGTAATTGCCGGGGATAAAGAGATTATTCTTCACAAAAGAAATTTGCTGCATCTGAGATAGCCTTGAACGGTCTGCACTGTACGTGCTCCTTGTCCAGATTCATTACTTTTTTTCTAGTCTGCATTCACCAGCTGTGAACTCCGGTGCAGAATCCTGGTCGGTCCTCTGTTATCTGTATACAGACTTTTGGTACCTTGCCTCTCAGGCTGCTACCCTCTGACTTAAAAGGAAACCCCCTCCCAATTAGTAGCCTCTTATGACATGCTTGTTGAGGGACAGAAGGTCTATTCTTTTTTCTTCATCTCCCTAAAATGGGGCCATGAAACCCAGACAGAAGTTAGCTTTTTTTAAATTCCAAACATTTATTAGCCAAAGTAACAGTCAATAATCTCTGACAGATGTTATAGATTTTTGTCAGGACTTTCATCTTCTTCCAAGGCTTGAGGGGGTTGCATGCACATCCATATTCCAGATCTGTTTTATTGTCTGTAGACTGAGGGTTTCCTGGTTTCTCAGGCAGAAATGCTTTGATTTTGAAAGTAACGTGGATCCTATCTACGCTGGCCAGGTCCTTGGTAGGGAACCTGTTTCTAGAATGATCACGGACAGGAGGAGGCAGGTCTTGACCATTGATCCTGGTACACCACTGCAGGTGGTGATGCATCTTTACATCCCTATTTATTACTTGAAAAAAAGACAGACTGTTGTATTAGTCGGTGACAAATCGGTTACTGTCTTCAGCACAATTCTCCCCATGCCTTCAGCACAATTCTCCCTGTGCCTTCAGCACAGTTCTCCCCGTGCCTTCAGCACAATTCTCCCCATGCCTTCAGCACAATTTTCCCCGTGCCTTCAGCACAATTCTCCCCATGCCTTCAGCACAATTCTCCCCATGCCTTCAGCACAGTTCTCCCCGTGCCTTCAGCACAATTCTCCCCATGCCTTCAGCACAATTCTCCCCATGCCTTCAGCACAATTCTCCCTGTGTCTTCAGCACAATTCTACCCATGTCTTCAGCACAATTCTCCCCATGCCTTCAGCACAATTCTCCCTGTGTCTTCAGCAAAATTCTACCCTGTGCCTTCAGCACAATTCTCCCTGTGTCTTCAGCACAATTCTCCCTGTGCCTTCGGCACAATTCTACCCATGCCTTCAGCACAATTATCCCTGTGCCTTCAAACTATACAATCCCAGTGTGGGTCTGGGGGGAATAGACTCACTGCCCTCTAACATGTCGTAAGAGTCGACTAGGGGTTTCCTTAGAAGTCAGAATCCATCTGCCTGAGAGGCAAGGAACTAAAGTCTGCACACAAATAAGCCAGTTCTGTCAAATAGATGTGTGCATACACAACTCAAGTTCTAGAACTAAAGTCTAGAAGGTGAACAACCAGAACTTTCTGCCAGTTTACAGGCAGTGAACATGAAGAAGAGGAAGAAACTGCAACAAATCCTGGCACCAGAAATTCTTTGGTCTTATATGACTTTTGTGCACCATTTGCTGCTTGTTTTCAAAGGACCCAATGGTCTTTTCCCCATACCTTTCATTCGCTGATTCAAAATGCAATCATTATATGAGGTTAGGTTAAACAAATAATGCTGAAGTGCTGCAACAAAAGTCAGCAATCAATCTTATCATAAACAACAACAACAAAAAACTGATGTTTTCAAGATAGCATCTACACTGCCTGACAAAGTACATGATGACAATTATTATTGTTTTCACTTAAAACAGCAGTAGCCATGGTGTGTTGTGGTTTACAATGGTTTACAGCTAGGTCTTCCGTATCTGCATCTTTTAGCCTAACATGCCCAAAACCCACAGTGATGATGAAATGAGAGTCTCCAATGAAGATTTTTAAAAGATTAAGAATCCATTTTCATTTCATTTATATATAATGTGCTAGCCCACATTTAAAAAAAAATAATTTGCACTTGATGGATTGTGTGGTCAATATGATTTTTTAGCATTTACTGTCCAAAACATTTCCAGACATTAATTGAAAGGTTGGGACACCACAGATGAACGATCAAATGAAGAACTGACATCAGCGTACACTCAGAACATTCCCAAATTTGCTCAGTCTCCTTCACCAGAAGCCAACGAAGGGTCGGTATGATAATACTACCAGTTGCAACCTGATTAAAAGTTCACATATCCCCCCCCCCCTCCCCCCCTAGTGTTGAATATCTTCTAGGACCACTACTCACCCTCTCCCTTTGTTTTTTATCACAAAGTAGTCACCATCCAGAGAACCAGCAGAAGCCTGGGGTTGGGTCAGCAGGAAAACCCAGACGATTTTGTGCCATCAATAGCTAACGAAACTAACTCCATGGAATAAGTTAGTGTTTGACCATGGACATACAGACAACCAACCTCTGAACACATGTTTGCCTTAGGCTCCAGGTCATCCTGGGAAATCTTCAGCCCTGAGAGTAGGGTGGACTCCTGGTAGCCCCGCTGTACAGAGTTTGTGAATGCTGCCTCCGGGTGATCATGCAGCAACTGCAGGTTGATGGCAAACCCAGCCATGTCCATGGGAAAGGGGCGGTTCGGTTTCCAGTAGGTGAACCAAGCGATGACCTGCATGTTTAGATAAAACTGGTTAATGGAGACATGTTCAATAACAGGTGAATTTAAACTTTGGTTCTTTTTTTTGTTATTTAATGAAACAATAAAGTAAAGGCCTCTTTTAAACGCCAGTGGTGCACTGGACATATCTATGACATGAGGCTAAACATATTTTTATAGATCAATCGAGCCCTCGATGAGTGGTGCGGTCAACATCACACAGGCCGCATTTACTTCCCAGGATTTTATCTGTACCCATTCAAGGCTGGGTCAACCTGAGTGCCAAAGGTCATGTATAAAAAATATCCGGCTCCATGAGGATTTGAACATATGACCTGGGAAATGTATTCCATTTAATGCTTCACTCTGTGTTTACTGTTTACTCCCTCAACTCTTTGAGTCCCAGGGGGTTTAGCATCACAAGCTCAGGGGGTAGTAAAGAAAGTTATAAAATTGGCGCATCATGCGTTCATTGGGCTTCTAGGTAGGAACCTATGAACGTATGATACGTTCCTTGGGACTCGAAGAGTTAAGCTATTTCAGAAATATGCTTTACTGTTCACAGATGTTGTCAGCCAGTATAACAAGAAAAAAACTGTTTCTGGAAATCCCACAGGTTAATAACAAGGAAAAAAAAACCTGTTTCTGGAATTCCCACAGGTTAATAACAAGAAAAACAAAATTTCTGGAATTCCCACAGGTTAATAAAAAGAAAAACACAATTTCTGGAATTCCCACAGGTTCCTACCTCATTTTTTAAAGCATTTCTGCTACCCTAGATGACTTCTTATAGTCTGGGCCATGAGGTGTTGGTAGTCATGTGTATCCACAGCCTACTGTACTTTCAATCATTTCTGACACAGATGATCTTCCATGTCATGGTGTCAAACTGTCTAGCATCTTCTCTCTGCTCCTTAACTCTAGATGACACAAACTCAGGCTGGCTGTGTCACAGACACATTGAAACAGGAGAGGCTGTTTGCAAGATAGTTACTTCAAGTATATGGTAGCTTCCGTTGCAATGCTATCACTTGGATGTGGGAGGCTGTGTATGCATCAGCAATCACATATGAAAGACTAACACCTGTACAAGCTTCCTTATTACTGCAAACAGGTATTTGCTTCAGTCCCCTCCTAAAGATCACATAGAATCTCAGCAAAGTGCCTGGTTTCCGTAGCACCAGCAACAATTCCATGTGTTTTTATCTCACCCACTGTGAAACAGACTAGTTCTGCATCTCGCCTAGACAGATATTCTTTGTTTTTTGCAATTCTTTTATAAGCTGCGTCTACCAAAATGATACAGTATAAACATTATTATCTATTATAGATTGTCTAACATGGAATTAGCCTTCTCTTTTCCACTGCCAAATGCTGAGAGATTCTGTTCTATACAAACCCGGGCTTTTCGCTCTTCTCTGAGAAGTTCAGGTGTTTGACTAACTACCGCAGCTTCAGGGACTGGGTTCTTTCTAAACCTAAACATCATGAGATGAACCTCTCATTACGACCAAATCTATTTCTTCAGTGAAATCTTCTTCTTCTTCGCGATCACAAGCTGTAAACTCTGGAGGAAAGTTCTGATTGTTCATCCACTTTTGGAATGCAGTCCTGTTCCAGAGCCTGAGTGATGCATGTGCATCCGTTTTACAGATCTGCCTCAATTTATATGCAGACTGCTGGTTCCTTGCCTCTCAGGCAAATGCACTCCAACTTTGAAAGAAGCTCCTAATTAGTCAGCTCTAACGACAAGTTTTTGGGTAGGCAGTGGGTCTATTCTTGTTCTCCCTATAATGGTGTCCTAGAACCCACACTAGGACAGCGCGTTTAAGTGGGTTCCAGGGTTCCATTGTAGGGAAAACAAGAACAGACCCACTGCCTCCCCTAAAAGAATGTGGTAAGAGTTGACTAATTGGGAGCTTCCTTCACAACTGGAGTGCATATGTCTTGGAGGCAAGGAACGAGTCGTCTGCATAAAAGGGAGTAGATCTGTAAAATGGATGTGCACGCAACGTTCCAGGTTCTGGAATAGGACTGGAGTCCAAAAGTACGAACAACAAGAACTTTCCTCCTGTAAAGGTGAAGAAAAAGAGGAACTCTGGAGTGAAGTTCTGGTTTTTGTTCAATTCTGGACTTTGGTCTTTTTCTAGTACTGGAATTTTTGTGTAAATAATTGTGAAATATGTGAAGAAGAAACATTAATGGATACTTACTTTACCGTTTTGGACAATTGGTTTCTCGTATCTTAAATAACCAACCAGTCCCACTGGCCATACTGACACTTTTTTTGTAAATCTCATCTGGAATATAATTTGTTTTCTCTCAATGACATGCGCAATATTAAAACTGGCAGACAAAACACCAACTTTAAATATTTTTGTTCTGGTAACTTGTTAAATAGATACATCAATCAATAATGAACTCTTTCAGGAATGCATCATACATTTATAGGTTCCTACCTACCTAGGAGCCCAGGTAACACAAGATGCGCCGATTTTACGTCCCTGTTTACTACCCTTTGGGCCTCTGATGCTAAACCCCTAGGACTGAAAGAGTTAAGCACAAGTCCTCACTGCCAACAACCTAAATGGGGATTTCTCCAATAATTTTCACATTTCATATATGGGAACTGCAGTGGCGGAGTAGCAAGACACTTGCCTGCCCGTCTGAAGGTCTTTGGTTAGAATCCGCATCAAGTTAGATTCCGTGCCCCCCCCCTCCAAATTTTATATAGAACCCAGGTTAACCCAGCCTAAAATGGGTACCAGATAGTTTCATGGGAAGTAAAAGGCTGTTAATGTTATGTTTATCAAATCAGCCACCGAGCAGTAGATTTGTTCATAAAAACATAACATTAACACTATATGCCCGATGACCCACTAATACAGAAAGTGGCCCTCAACTTTACTTTCAAAATATACATTTTATATGGTTGTTGTTACATCTGAAACAACAGTTTGAAAAAACATATATTAACATCAAGGTTGCAAATAAAGTTGCCAGTTCCACATTACTTCAGAAAGCTTAAAAAAAAATGTATAAAACAATTCAGTAAATAAACAAAATTACTTTATCAAACTTAAATGACTTATTACAAATGTCACTTAAGGAAGAAAATGTAAACTTTGAAATATGCTAGATTTGTTGATGAAACAACTTAAAATGTAAAACTATATCGTTTGCTTCCTTTGTTCTTTGTATATATACCCTTACTAATGACCTGCTGTTTGAATTATTTCTGTTGGTAATCTATCAGCTCCTGGTGCAATTTGTACAACCATGTTACCTTTTCCGATGAAACAAATGAAAACTACCTAAGCTACATGACTACCTTACTGCATTAAACAACTAAAACACAACTAAATGTGCCTGTTGCCTTATTAAAATGAGAGAAACAAAACAAACTGCATCGTTCTAACTCACATAATAGAAATTATAGCCAACTTTACCTCATCAAATAACTTTAAACTGTATGTATTATCATCATCTGCAAAATATACCACACCAGGTTGTCTGCGAGGTGATGTATTTCTCCGCAGCCATTCTAATCCAGCATTTCTCTGTAAGACGCCCCTTGGTTTCAGCCAATTAGGATCATCCATATTTAACTTAAACTCTGCTGGCGTTGGCACATTTAAATGTGTGTAGTTTAGGCCTGTCTGTTTTAAAAATCTGGCAACTAAATCTGTCTGGCTTTCAGAATCTTCTATAACAATCCAGTGAATGTTTTTAACAAGCATCAAGGTGTGACTGAGTCTGGTCAGCTCGGCTTTCTGTTCAAGTCTGGTGTACGTGGGAGTGATCAAATAAATTACAGGTAAGCCGCTGACCCAGTTGGACAATCTATTTGTACCACCTGTGGCCAACTGTAGTTCAGTTTCTCTTAACTTGTGGGCCATCAAGACATGCTCAGTCTTCAATGTCTGCAGCTGATCTGAGTATTTCTGCAGCAGTCGTTTGGTAGAGGCAAGCTCTTCACTGTTGCAACTGAATGCTGAAACATCAAACAACAGAAAACGAGTTTAGCCTTTCAAAAATGCACAATATGTGACCAGCAGGCATATACATAAATGTTGACCAGTCTTCATTAACAAAGAGCAGGAAACAAAACTTTTAGAAATGTATTTAAGGCCTTACTTATCACTTTTTACAATGTAAGTCAGGTGGGTCTTGAGCCAAAGGAAATGGGCGAGCTGAGAACTGATATCACAGCACTTGAGACATTCCAATAAGCGTTCTGCCCTCATCTTCAGCAGCCAGTGGAGAGTTCCAATTCCAATGGTGCCAGTAACTTTGTGATTAAATGTCCGTCTCGCCTTTCCTCTAAGGGTAGAGCGTCGGCCAGACCCAATGGTCACTTCCAGCTGTATTATTCTCTCCAGACGATAATGATCAACTGGTACCGCCACATTATTCACTTGCTCACAGAGAGCGCAAACATACATTATTTAAATGCCTAGTGGTGCAGTGCGAATGCATCTGTATGCCTGGTCATTTCCCAACCCACTTGTATGCCCTGGAACAAATTTCCAGAAGAAAGACGCTAACTACAAGGGACCTCTGAATTGATGCCTGTCAATCTATCTTAAGTATGTCTTGTCTCATTACAGATCACGCTCTGTAAATCTGGTACAATCAGGATATGAGCGTGCAGATCTATTTTTCAAGCCAGCGGAAAGCTGCTGCCTTCACCTCCATTCTAAAACTAAATGCGGTAATATCATACAACAGGCCTTGTTGCACGAAGCATTGTCCATTTGCTTTTGCATGAGACCCATGCAACTGGTCTGCTAAATTTTTGATTCTGCAGTGCTGGCTGGCCACCCTCTGCACTCCCTACCCAGTGTGATTAGAACACAGAAGGTTTGGCAATCTAGCAAGAATGAATATGATTATGCTGGCAGAGCAAGTTTACTACACAAAAATGGAAACAGCTGGCAGAGAGAGTATACTACACAAAAATGGAAACAGCTGGAAGAGATAAAGAAATTACTGACAACCTGCCCCGCGCATTTGAGGAGTAGAGAACAGAAGATGAAAAAACTCAGACAACCTAAAACTTCACAGCACATCGAGCAACAAAGCACACCCTGGCTCAGCTACATAATTATGTGTTAGGAATTTGACTCCCAGCTGTATAAAGCAGATACTGACAAAAGAAGAAAGAGAGTAAAGATGGGCTTCATAACAAGCAGGAGAAACAGAAATGTGGCCACAAGCCTAGCAACGGAAGTCATGGTCCATAGAAGTTTTTAAAAGGAGTTGAAAATTATAGGGAAGAGAAAAAGTTGGTAAGAAACAACAAATAGTTTATGTTAGCTTTACAAAATCAATCACAATAAACAAACAAAGGACGTTGCAGCGATTAGCCTTCATCAGCACATAAAGGACAACACAGTACACATACACAAATATGCTCTAACTATGAAGTGACTACATAGGACTCTAATGTATAAAATAAATGATACTCATCTGTGTCCCTGGCGAAAAAACTTTGTACAATAAAATGACTAGGTCAGCTACTAGCCTATTTATCTCCAACGCGCGGGCGGGGATAGAAAAATGGGGCGGAGTAGACGCCAACAGTGTACACTGAGTGTCTAATGAGGGAGGGAGGGGGTTGGCCTATAGGGCGTAACCAGGGTTGGGTTGTGGGAATGACATTAGTCCATCCACATGGAATAAAAGTGGTGTCTGTGCTAGCAAACAAACACCAACAGACAGATAGATAGAACAAACGAACGAACAAACTTTATTTTCAAAGGGTTACAAATTGGGCACGCAGGCCCGTCTGACATTCGGCCCTTCTAAGTACTCATCTTTCAGAGTACTAATACCTGTTATCAATAATGCATGTTATGGATTTAAAAAGAAATATATAATGCATACACACATCGTGTGTACGCCATCATACACACTCACACACACGTATACATACATCTACATTTTCACACAGGTGAACTCATATACAGACATACGTGATACATACACACCTGCATCTACATACATATACAAGCATACACATACACAGAAATAAATGCACAAACAGAAAACACACACACATACATTTATGGATATACATGTACACACGCATTCCATATATACACATCTATACATGCACCCATGCATACACACATATACCATTACATGTACAGACACCAACATATGCCCAAAACCACACATTTACACTTACATGAATACATACACCCACACACATGCATACATATATCCACACATTTATACCTAAACTCACATCTTTACACACATACATACATACATACATACATACATACCTAAATATACTTTCATATATCCACATGCATACACACACAATCACACACACATGCACACTTGCATGCTTTTATAAATACACAAACACCCACATACCTACACAGCTACATATACCTGCGTACACCCACATTATACATAAATATACACACAGATACAATCACATACTTACACATTTACATTCATACATTCTCATACATACAGACATACATAATACATACATACACCTACATACATATACGCACACATACACATGTGTACATACATAGGCTAAATCTACATGCATACACAATACAAACATACATCGACATACAAACATAAACACACATTTACATAGACATACATGCGCGCGCACACACACACATGCATACATACACACATCCATACATACACTCACATACTTACAAACATACATACATACATACTTGCAAACACACATAAATTCACACACATACTTACACAGATACATACATACATCCACCAACATGCATACAAACACACATACGTGCATACATACACACACATAACATACATAAACACATATGCATGCATACACACATAACTAATCACACAAACAGACACCTTCATACAAACATTCACTTATATATGCCTGCATACATACATACATGCATACATAATACAGACACACACACAATCACACTCATATACAATCACACATACACCCATATATTTACAACCTACATACATAAATACACACACATACTAAACCTAAAAATACAGACATATATCCACATATATACATACACACTAACAATTACACACACCCACCCACATAATACAAACATATAATACACATAAGTAAGGTGATAATACATGTGAATTATTAACTTCATCTATGGTGGCCTATAATCACTAGTAAGCATGAATTTAAAAAGGCTGCGGTTAAACGAGTACATACTCATATTTTTCAGATCGAGTGGGAGGTGATTCCATAAATGAGCAGCAGAATATGACAAACTTGTTTTATATAGATCTAATCTAGGCTTCGGCAAATGCAATAAATTTAGCCGTTTGCTGGTATTAGGGTTGGGTTGAATCAACTGGACAAGATAATCTGCAGTGTTCTGAGCTAAAATTTTATGAACAAATTTGGCTTTATTAAATAGTAATAGATAGATAGATAGATAGATAGATAGATAGATAGATAGATAGATAGATAGATAGATAGATAGATAGATAGATAGATAGATAGATAGATAGATAGATAGATAGATAGATAGATAGATAGATAGATAGATAGATAGATACAAAGATCATGGATGGTGGGGTGAATGTATGAGTGGGTAGTGCAATAGATGGGCGGGTAGGCAAATAGACAAAATGATAGATGGTTATACTCGTGGATGGATGGAAAGTATAGTAGATGGATGGATCGGCCGATATATGAAATCAGGTAAAAACAAGGGTCTCAAGACATGATGCTTCTCACTTACTGTCAGCTATGAAATAGAGACAGCAAGGGTGATTGTTATACAAAGTATCAGTCGAACCGAGCACAGAACTGGTTAAAAAACAGAATGTAAGGGAGCAAGGGAAAAATAGCTAGGGTGGATGGTGAGGTGAGTGGGCACATAAAGATGAGTGGATGGGTAAAGGATGGCTATATCGGTGGATGAATGGAATTGCTAATATAAAGAATCGGGTAAAAACAGGGGTCTCGTGATAAGATGCTTCTCTCTTACTGTCAGCTATCAAATAGAGACAGTAAGGATGATTGTTATACAAAAGTATTCAGTCGAGCCCGAGAGTAAAACTGGTAACAACCAGAATGTAACGGAGCAATGAAGGGATAGATGGGAAAACACCATGTGTGGATGGTGGAGTGTGTCCTGGATAGATGGGTGGGTAGATGAATGGATGGAATGATGGATGACTGTATTTGTGGATGAATGGAATGGTAGATGGATGGATGGATCGACCAATTATGAAATGAGGTAAAAACATGAGTCTGGTAACACAGTGCTTCTCTCTTACTGTCAGCTATCAAATAGAGACAGTTAGGGTGATTTTTATACAAAGTATTAGTCGAACCCAAGTGCAAAGCTGGTAACAGCCAGAATGGAAGGAAGCGGGGAAAAATAACATTGAGTGGATGATGGGATAAATGGTGTGGGTAGATGAATGGGCGGGACAATGGTTACGTTCATGGATAGATGCAATGGTAGATGGATGGATGGATCGGCCTATATGTAAAAACCAGGGTCTCATGATGTGATTGCCTCTCTCTTACTGTCACCAAGCAAGTCAAGACAGTAATGATGAATGTTATACAAAGTATCAATCGAGCCCACGCGCAAAAACATAGTGTTTCCTGAGATACCTGCTGTGTAGGTAGCAGAGAATAGTGATGTATTGTACATCAGGTAGGCGTGCAAAGAAACGTGGGGAGCGATGAATGATAGGAGACAAGGTGTGCATGTTGTAACAACAGAAAAGCTAGAGGGAAAGAGAGATAGGTCTGTGAAGACAAAGTGTGCATGTTGTAACAACAGAAAAGCTAGAGGGGAAGAGAGATAGGTCTGTGCAGACAAGGTGTGCATGTTGTAACTAGGTCTGTGCAGACAAGGTGTGCATGTTGTAACTAGGTCTGTGAAGACAAAGTGTGCATGTTGTAACAACAGAAAAGCTAGAGGGAAAGAGAGATAGGTCTGTGCAGACAAGGTGTGCATGTTGTAACAACAGAAAAGCTAGAGGGAAAGAGAGATAGGTCTGTGCAGACAAGGTGAGCATGTTGTAACAACAGAAAAGCTAGAGGGAAAGAGAGATAGGTCTGTGCAGACAAGGTGTGCATGTTGTAACAACAGAAAAGCTAGAGGGAAAGAGAGATAGGTCTGTGCAGACAAGGTGTGCATGTTGTAATAACAGAAAAGCTAGAAGGAAAGAGAGATAGGTCTGTGCAGACAAGGTGAGCATGTTGTAACTAGGTCTGTGCAGACAAGGTGTGCATGTTGTAACTAGGTCTGTGCAGACAAGGTGTGCATGTTGTAACAACAGAAAAGCTAGAGGGAAAGAGAGATGGGTGGTTATTACAAAGAAAGATGTTGGACAGCTTGCTATAATAGCAGGAAATAGTATCTATATAAGAAATTACTGACAGTACATGAAAGAGAAGGCTGTAGACAAACATCAACTAGCACTGTAAGACTTCTTCTTCAAGTCCATGCCGTGTGGCGTTGGTAGTCATGTCTATTCACAACTTTCTCTCTCATGCTCTTTTAATCAGTTATGACACAGATCATCCTCCATGACCTGATGTCAAACTGTCCAGCAGTTTCTTTCTCGTCTCCCACTGCATCTTTTCCCTCCAGCTTGTCCACTGTCACAATGTGCTCCAGTTGTCTCCTCCTCATGACATGACCAAAGAAAGTAGATTGTCTCCCCCTGATGTGCGCAGTCATTTCTCTTTGTGAGTCAGTTTCTTTCAAGACATCTTTGTTACTCTCTCTATTAGTCCAGGGCATTCTCATAATCCATCTACAAGAACACAATGCCGCAGCTTCCAAATAATTGTTCACTAATCGACAAACTAATCAACACTATAAAACCATAAACATGTATTTAACCAGATGTTTCTAACTAGACTCAATGGCACCATGTGCTAAATTCTTGTTTCAAGAAATTTCCTTTGAACATTGAGTGGAGAATAAAATTGTGTAACTGCAAGAAAAATAATATTTATTTTTACTTTTTAATGTAGGAGTTTCGATGTCTGCCTTTAGCATACTGTAAAGTGACAAATTACAGCCCTGAAATTACACTTAAATGACTTTTGTGTAGCGCCAACGATATTTAAAATCTAGTGGTAATGAACCAAAGAGGTCTGCCTTACTAGTTATGCATAACATCACTGCAACAAGCTGTGGCAATTATCCAGATATAAATAACACTGTTGATGAATCTTAACAATTTGCCAAACCTAAAACAAATAATATAATAATTTACAAAGCGTGTAGCAGAATGAACAAATTGGCAAAGAAACAACTTACTGAGATCAATGATGAGGATCATTAATATCACCATCAAGACTGCTGCACAAACAACGAGAAATTTGGATGGGGTCAGGTAACGCATCAGTGACATTGTCACTACTTGTTTCCCCTGCAATAAAATGTCAGCTGTGACTCAACACTGATCCAGAAAATATTGAGATATATCTCTCATGTAATCATTACAAAACATAGATAGCTTAGTCCTGGGTTCGAGTCCTGACATTTATTTTAAAAAATGACCTTGTCGCTCAGGTCGATCTAGCCTTGTGTGGATACCGGGTTCAGTCATAGGAAGTAAATGCGGCCGTTGCGATGCTGCCCATATCACCCCCCCCCCCCTAACTGCTGACTGGTCTATAAGATAGAGTTTTAGCCCTATACGCCTGAAGGCATGGAGAAGGGTCCATTTTACAGACAGCATGACTGTGTAGACTCAGAGCATACCCACTTTTGATTATCATGACCATCTTTTTACCAACCGGCATTTCTCTGCGAATGTTAATTTACTGTTAACTCATTCACTGCTAAACAACTGCCAATATTTTGTTGATTTCCACTATAATGATATACAAATGCTTTAACTCCTTCTGTCTCTTGATGCAGAGCTGTCGTAACAGCATTAGTAGTCCCTGGGCAAACCCAGTGTGCTGGGGCCTCTATGACACTCATACGAATTACATTTTTATTTATATCAAGTCACTTGACATAACAGATTAATATGAGGCCGCTTTGCCAGTTGCGCTCCCCAGCCAAATGTCCCGCGAAGCCATTCGTTAAATTGCACTGCCTTAGTGTAGTTTACACGTCTCATACCCAAACACCTTTACAACAGTAAGAGTGTTCTTTGATAATCTGATGAACAGAGAACACTGGAGAGCCTCCAAACTCAACAAAAGACCACATGTCGAAGGGTAGACTGGGAGAAATGATGCGTGTAACTCTAAGGTGATGTCTTTTGATGAAAGAAATGGCTCAGAACACCAAGGTCATACATTTGTGAAAACATAAATGCATACACCTTCAGGTAGTGCACAAGATGAAGTGTGAGGGTCTCAGCCTGAACTCAGAAGTCATTCCAATACTGATCAGTGAGGATTATTATCACATCCCTTAGGGTACATTCATAGGTGCACTAATCTTCACCTCAGCAGTTACACAAGGGTAAAATGACTGATAACGCCTGTTCTGTGTAAATAAACATTTTGCTCCTTTGGTGAAATGCTCATTTCTTGCAGCTCTAGGTTTGACCCCCAGATCCATCAGCCTGGACAGGGATACAGGGTTTTACCTTTGCCGTATTCGTCTGGGCGATATGTGCCATACACAGTGTTGATAACATCACTTCTCTCCAGCATTGCACCCATTGTTAAATATAACAGCTAGGAAGGAAAGATCTGCAACATTTATTTACTACTTTCATTATGACTGTATTGTTAATGAAACTGCAGATAAACTTGCTAAGAAAGGGGATGAATGTGGACAATGCAATAACATATTGTGAGAAAAAAATGGGTTTCAGTTTGTCAGAATTGAGAACAGAATCTGGCCAGCAATTACTACCACTTACTTGACTATGGGCAGATTATCATTATATGCCTCAGGACTGGGCATAACACTTAAACATATGCATAAGCTATGCCTGGTTAGTTCACCATAGTGCCCATCTGTGCTGTGTGTGTTGTGTGTACAAACTGCAGAATATGTTCTGCAAGACATTCCCTTGTACAGCCCATTAGGAAAAAAATACTGTCCCAATGAGTCAACCCATAGACCCACTAGATGTACGGAAGTCAGTTTTATCATGAGACATCCGAAGAAAACAGTCATTTTTTATCACTGAGAAACTCATGACCAGTCAGAAGAAGTGTAATATTTACATTCTGGATTTACATATAGAAATGTTTGAGTTAGAGAGAATGTTCTGACACCACAATCATACAAAGAGAAAATAGACGTAGGCTTTAGAGCTGAAATACTCAGAGAAACTCTACAACAGCACGATTTTATGGTTAGGCCTCTCCTAGAAACGAACTTCTCGACACCCCAGCATTAGAGGAAGTGAACCGAACAGAACATATATCCTTATGGGGCTCAGTCCTATTAAAAATATGGAATGTTCTCAACGAATCAGGGGCTTTTGAAAACTAGGATCAGCTCCGTATAATGAAACAAATGCTCAAACATATCCTCAGCGATATATTTAATTGCAAACGGACCTGCTCAAACAGGGTCTCAGCGATATGTTAATTGCGGACCTGTTTCTTTGACTATGCTACGCGCGGCGTTGATGGGGGCTTAACTAGATGGCTGGGACTCATGAGCGATTTTTAGAATGTCACAGACCAAGGAGAAAAGACATGCTGACATCATAAAAGATGCCGAAAAATAGGCTCCCAAAATGCATTTTGCCCTAGAAACTGAAATATTTTGGCCATATCAAGCTCCACAGTGAACTGGGAAAAAACAGGGGGGGGGGGGGGGGGGGGGAGGCCATGGGTAAGAGGGGCAGGGGCCTACCAGCATGAAGATGGGTACTGTACTCACTGGACATAAGGGACGCCTTAGGCACAGAACTGAATGAGGCAGGAAGGGCTGAGTTTGAGAGGTTTTGACGTGGACTTGAATGAGTACCGTTGAACTGCATTTTTCAATACCTACCCAACTAACCAACGGCTCTCCTTCGAGCGGCATCATAATATGGCGGCGTTAGGAGGAAAGCCACATTCTGGCCATAAAATAGCCAAAAATATCCAAATGGGGCTCAGTTATATTGAAAAATATGCCGGCTCCGTATAACGAAACAAATGCGGACCTGTTTCTTATTGTTTCTGATTACCTGACAATTCTAAGAGACACACGCAACACTGCAGACGATATTAGCAGACGATAATAATAATAGCGACCGTTGACACTGACCATTGTCGACCTTTCTGACAACGAACAAATCACGGCAAATCTAGGATCGGCTCGGAAAAACGAAACAAATGCTCTAACAGGGTCTCAGCGATATGTTACTTACGGACCTGTTCCTGTGACTATCCCTCACCGCCGAGGGTATCCCCCGCGCTGCTACGCGTGGCGTGGATACGGGCTAAACTAGATGGCTGGGACTCACGAGCGGCAGCTACCGCATCTCCCTGCAGCTTCCTCCAATTACTTTGCTCGTGAGTCCCAGGCACCTAGTTTATCCCCCATCCGTGCCGCGCGTAGCGGCGCGGATGATACGCTCAGCGATGAGTTTAATCGCGTTTCTGCGCATGCCAACAAGTCTGACATCTACCGCTGCTAAATCCTCCAATCGGAAGAACAGTACTACTAATCGCTTTCATCGTCTGTAATGTCTCGAATTGTCAACGTCGCTAATATCGTCTGCAGAAACGCTCAAAATTGTGAACGGTCGGTATTTATCGTCTGCTACTACCGTGTGCAATGTTGATATTGATTGTGTTGTCAAGTAATCCTAGTTTTGCCGCAATTTGTTCCTTGGCAGACAGTCCATATTTTAGATATGCCTGAACACCGTTCGGATATTTTATGGCCAGAATGTGGCTCTCCTTCGAACGCCGCCATACTATGATGTCGTTCAAAGGAGAGCCAACCAACTAACCACTATACTATACTAGTACTAGTTGCATTTATTCAAAATAATTAGGCGCTTCTTTGAATCGTTCCCCAAAATGGCGGCTTTAATATGATGGCGTTCAAAGGGGAGCTAAATTTGCCAATTTCTGGCCATAAAATATCCAAAAATATCCCAATGCGGGTCAGTTCTATTAAAAATATATGTGCCGGCTCCGGATAACGAAACAAATGGCTCTGACAGGGTCTCGGTGATACGGCGTTACTTGCCGACCTGCGTCTTTGAGTGTGCCTCACCGCCGAGAGTATCCCACGTGCCGCTACGCGTGGAGCGGATGGGGGCTAAACTAGATGGCTGGGACTCACGAGCGGCAGCTACCGCTTCTCCTGCAACTTCCTCCAATTACTGTACTCGCGTTGCTCTCCTTGCAGATCCGGACGAGGGTTGGATGCGGGCTTGACAACTTAGTTCAGTTTAGTGGGAGTTCTCTCCCTTGGCTGCACTCGAAACAGTGAGCGGAAAAGTCACGAAACAAATGACATACTTACCTATCATCATACGGTTGCGTGTAAGGTTGTGTACGGTTGCGTTTAGGGTTGCGTAGTCATCATACGGTTGCCTGAAGGGTTGCGTAGTCCATCATGTCACGAAAGTTTAGGGGCTGCGTAGGGTTTGGGTTAGGGGTATTTGGTTAGGGGTAAAGTTAGGGGTAGGGTTAAGGGTTACGGGGGAAGGGTTGGGGGTAGAGTTAGGGGTTAGGCTTGTCTTCGTTAGATGTGACTTTTTGACGACGCTGAATTTCCAATAATTGCACACTGTCACATACACACCCAAAAAAGTCAAACGAACTGTGGATTGCTACGGAACGTCGCTGGTGCGGTTGGGCACCAGCTGCGCGCTATTGCGGTCATGTATTGACAGACTTCCAGTGGCGCCACTCCCACAAGTGGGTCAGATTGTGTCGGCCAGTATTTGGAACCCCTACGTCAAAATTGTCACATCTAACCCTACCCCCAACCATAAAACTAACCCTAACCATAACCCTAACCCTACCGTTGAATCCACACCGTACGCCCCCTACACGCAAACGTATGATGTTAGGTATAACCCTACACGCAGCCGTATGATGACGTGGCAACCCTTCGCGCAACCGTATGATGACTTGCAACCCTTCGCGCAACCGTATGTGACTACTTCAACCCTAACAGCAACCGTACGCAACCTTACACGCCACCGTATGATGATAGGTAAGTATGTACGCTCGAAATTGTTGTCAACGGTCCCGTTGTATTTATCGTGGGTACTACTACCGTGTGCAAATGTTGATATTGATTGTCAAGCAATCCTAGATTTGCCGCGATTTGTTCCTTGGCAGATAATCCGTATTTTAGATATACGTGAACACCGTCGTTCGGATATTTTTTGATATTTTATGGCCAGAATGTGGCATGCCGCCATTTTGGGGAACCAATCAAAGAAGCGCCAATAATTCTGAAAAGTTGACTAAAATA